GATATGCCAAAATGAAAACTGCCACCAATATTTACATCTTGAACTTGGCTATTGCAGATGAGCTCTTTATGTTGAGTGTCCCTTTCCTGGCTGCTTCTGCAGCCTTGCAGCACTGGCCATTTGGCTCAGGGATGTGCCGCACAGTCCTTAGTGTGGATGGCATTAACATGTTCACCAGTGTGTTTTGCCTGACAGTCCTAAGTGTGGACAGGTACGTGGCCGTGGTCCACCCTCTCCGGGCTGCCAGATATAGGCGACCAACTGTGGCCAAGATGATTAACATTTGCGTGTGGATTGTATCTCTTCTGGTCATTTCCCCAATTCTAATCTTTGCAGACACAGATTCCTCTAATGGGGTTGTAGTGTGCAATCTTCTGTGGCCCCAGCCCTCATGGTCTACCGTGTTTGTCATTTACACCTTTCTTCTAGGCTTTTTCTTGCCCGTAATTGCAATCTGTCTATGCTACATCCTTATCATAGTTAAAATGAGAGCAGTGGCACTGAAGGCAGGCTGGCAACAGAGGAAAAAGTCTGAGAAAAAGATTACTCGCATGGTGCTAATGGTAGTCACTGTCTTTGTTATCTGTTGGATGCCCTTCTATATTGTTCAGCTCCTCAACCTTTTCCTACCCCACATGGACGCAACCATAAACCACATTTCACTTATTCTCAGTTACGCCAACAGTTGTGCCAACCCAATTCTCTATGGCTTCTTCTCGGATAACTTTAAGAGATCTTTCCAGAGAATTGTCTGTTTTCGTTGGCTTGAGAATGGTACAGATGAACCTGTGGATTATTATGCTACAGCCCTGAAGAGTAGAGTGTGTAATAACCACCCATTGGACTTCCAGCAAGAGCCTCTCCAGTCTGACCCTTGCTACAAACATGGGACAATTACAAGGACCACCACACTATAACAGACCAGAAGATGCCTTGTTAACAACTTGCTGCTAGTCACACATGTTACTGTTCTACCAGAGGGTTCACATGTATGTGGACATGTTCTGATTAGATGTCCTCTTTGTATTTGTAGTGGAAATGAGTGTGCTTAATAAACCATAAAGTCCAATCTGAAAGAGCAGTTTGTTATTAATAGTCAGATTAAGTCTGTATTAAAGGTAGACCGGAAATTAAAGATATACTAAAATATTCTATAAATTCACTGTTCTCACCAGAGTTTTGGGGATCTGTATATTTTATATATATATATATATATATATATATATATATTTTATTTTTTTAAAGTAATACCTTTACATGGTGATTGATGTGCTCTTTTCTTATATGCTTTTTAATTGCCTTGTTTGTACTATGGAGCTAACAGTTCAGTCTCGGACCTGAGTGATCTAATAGATACAGGTATAACAGGGTCTATCGGGGTGGATGCTGTCGCTGAGTGAGGTTTATGTAGAATGTTGAGCACTGTCGGGCAGGTTTATGTAGAATGTTGAGGAAGATGCGGAAGCTGAGAGTTAATCAGACTTTATATAGAGCAGTCTCCATGGGAGTGGGTACGGAAGTTAGGAGAGTAGATGATGTAGTGCAGTGTCTTTATGGCAGCTGCAGTTTATTTGGAGAGACACCTGAAGCACTGTCTATAGGAAGGAATAATAGAACTGAGTGTATTAATGGGGGTTTAAAGAAAGCAGTGTCTATTGGAGTGAGTGCTACAATTGCATGACTTAATGTGGATTTATAGAAAGCAGTGCCTAATGGAAGGAGTGCTAGAACTGTGTGAATTAATGGGGGTTTATAGAGAGCAGTGTCTATTGGAGCGAGTGCTAGAACTGGGTGAATTAATGGGGTTTATAGAGAGCAGTGTCTATTGGAGTGAGTGCTAGACCTGGATGAATAAATGGGGGTTTATAGAGAGCAGTGTCTATTGGAGTGAGTGCTAGAGCTGTGTGAATTAATGGAAGTTTATAGAGAGCAGTGTCTAATGGAGTGAGTGCTAGAACTGGGTGAATTAATGGGGTTTACAGAGAGCAGTGTCTATTGGAGTGAGTGCTAGAACTGGGTGAATTAATGGGGTTTACAGAGAGCAGTGTCTATTGGAGTGAGTGCTTGAACTGGGTGAATTAATGGGGGTTTATAGAAAGCAGTGTGTATTGGAGTGAGTGCTAGAACTGGGTGAATTAATGGGGTTTACAGAGAGCAGTGTCTATTGAAGTGAGTGCTAGAACTGGGTGAATTAATGGGGTTTACAGAGAGCAGTGTCTACTGGAGTGGGTACCATAGCCAAGTGAATTAATAGGGGTTTATAGAGAGCAGTGCCTAACAGAGTGGGTACTATAGCCAGTGAATTAATGGGGGTTTATAGAGAGCAGTGTCTATTGGAGTGAGTGTTAGAACTGGGTGAATTAATGGGGTTTACAGAGAGCAGTGTCTAATGGAGTGGGTACTATAACCAAGTGAATTAATGGGGTTTATAGAGAGCAGTGCCTAATGGAGTGGGTAGTATAGCCAAGTGAATTAATGGGGGTTTATGAACCTTATTATCTCTTGGATTGGATACTGGAAGCACAAGGGTTAATATGGATTTATAGAGAGCAGTGTCTATTGGAGTGAATTCTGGAGCTACCTATGTTACTGAGGGGGGAATATACCGCAATGCCTATAGGAGTGGATTCAAGTTACAGGGGATTATCGAGAAAAGTGCCTACTGATGTGATGTGAAGCTAGTTGGGTTATGAAGTCATGTAGAGCAGTGCCTATGTGAAGAGATGTATATCTGTCTGAGTTACTGTGGGTTATATAAAGCAGTACTTGTAAGAGTAGCTGTCAAGCTGGCTGAGTTACTATGGGTTATATAGAGCAGTGCTTGTAAGAGTAGCTGTCAAGCTGGCTGAGTTACTGTGGGTTACACAAAAGCAGTGCTTGTAAGAGTAGATGCCAATCTGGCTGAGTTACTGTGGGTTATATAGAGCAGTGCTTGTAAGAGTAGATGTCAAGCTGGCTGAGTTAGTCATATAGAGCAGTGCTTGTAAGATTAGATGTCAAGCTGGCTGAGTTACTGTGGGTTATTTTGAACAGTACCTATAGGATATGACGTGAAGCTAGCTGGGTTATAAAGTCATGTAGAGCAGTGCCTATAGGCACTGAAGATGGCTGAGTTACTGTGGGCTATGTAGAGCAGTCCTTGTAAGAGTAGATGTCAAGCTGGTGGAGTTATTGTGGATTTTTTTTTTTTATAGAGCTGTGACTACAGGAGCAGATGTGAATCTTATCTGGAGCAATCTGTAGGATTAGATAGTGGGCAGGGGGAGATAAGTGGATAGTTTGTAGGGCAGTGTTTATGGGATGTAGTACCATAGATAGCCTTGTCAGTGGGGAGTTAGGTTCAGGAGGGCCTCTTGGAATGGATACTTGAGCTGGGTGCTACATGTCCCATGTAAGTGACGGAGAGGGTTGAATGGGCCCCGGGGCCGGTGAGTCCTTGATGTAATAGATGTCACTGGCAATGTACCCACCTATAAAGAAGGCATGTCATCCCAGCACTGTGGTACCAGGATAATAGGCTATCCGTCAGGGAGGAAGTCACCTGTGTCTATACTTTGAGTGCAGCTGAAACACCTGTGTTTGGCTTGCAATGCTCTGTTTATGTCCTTTGTGCTGTCCTCTCTCTCTCTCTTGTTCTCACACTCACTCACTCCTTCTGCATAAGCTAAAAGCTGTCTGTGAGTGTGTTATTTGGGATTTATTCAAGCAGTGTCTATTGTTAATTGCAGATTATATATAGCAATGCCTATAGTAGTGGATGCTGCAGCTGAGTGAGTTACTAGGAGTTTACATGGAGCTCTGTCTATTGGAGTAGTAACTGGAGCTTAGTGATATACTAGGGGTCTACACGGAGCTTTGTCTATTGGAGGGGATACTGGGAGCTTAGTGATATACTAGGAGTTTACATGGAGCTCAGTCTATTTGAGAGGTTACTAGAGCTTAGTGAAATACTAGGGGTTTACATGGAGCTCGGTCTATTGGAGTGGTTACTAGAGCTTAGTGATATACATGGAGCTCTGTCTATTGGAGAGGTTACTAGAGCTTAGTGATATACTAGGAGTTTACATGGAGCTCTGTCTATTGGAGGGGATACTGGAGCTTAGTGAAATACTAGGAGTTTACATTGAGCTCTGTCTATTGGAGAGGTTACTAGAGCTTAGTGATATACATGGAGCTCTGTCTATTGGAGAGGTTACTAGAGCTTAGTGATATACTAGGAGTTTACATGGAGCTCGGTCTATTGGAGAGGTTACTAGAGCTTAGTGAAATACTAGGAGTTTACATGGAGCTCTGTCTATTGGAGGGGATACTGGAGCTTAGTGAAATACTTGGAGTTTACATGGAGCTCTGTCTATTGGAGTGGTAACTGGAGCTTAGTGATATACTATGAGTTTACATGGAGCTCTGTTTATTGGAGAGGTTACTAGAGCTTAGTGAAATACTAGGAGTTTACATAGAGCTCTGTCTATTGGAGAGGTTACTGGAGCTTAGTGATATACTATGAGTTTACATGGAGCTCTGTCTATTGGAGTGGTTACTAGAGCTTAGTGATATACTAGGGGTTTACATGGAGCTCGGTCTATTGGAGAGGTTACTAGAGCTTAGTGAAATACTAGGAGTTTACATGGAGCTCGGTCTATTGGAGTGGTTACTAGAGCTTAGTGATATACTAGGGGTTTACATGGAGCTCGGTCTATTGGAGAGGTTACTAGAGCTTGGTGAAATACTAGGAGTTTACATGGAGCTCGGTCTATTGGAGAGGTTACTAGAGCTTAGTGATATACTAGGAGTTTACATGGAGCTCTGTCTATTGGAGTGGTTACTGGAGCTTAGTGATATACTATGAGTTTACATGGAGCTCGGTCTATTGGAGAGGTTACTAGAGCTTAGTGAAATACTAGGAGTTTACATGGAGCTCGGTCTATTGGAGAGGTTACTAGAGCTTAGTGATATACTAGGGGTTTACATGGAGCTCGGTCTATTGGAGTGGTTACTGGAGCTTAGTGATATACTAGGAGTTTACATGGAGCTCTGTCTATTGGAGTGGTTACTGGAGCTTAGTGATATACTATGAGTTTACATGGAGCTCGGTCTATTGGAGAGGTTACTAGAGCTTAGTGATATACTAGGAGTTTACATGGAGCTCTGTCTATTGGAGTGGTTACTGGAGCTTAGTGATATACTATGAGTTTACATGGAGCTCTGTTTATTGGAGAGGTTACTAGAGCTTAGTGAAATACTAGGAGTTTACATGGAGCTCTGTCTATTGGAGAGGTTACTAGAGCTTAGTGAAATACTAGGGGTTTACATGGAGCTCGGTCTATTGGAGTGGTTACTGGAGCTTAGTAAAATTAATGGCAATAGTTTCTGTTGTGCAGGACATAGTGACTCCGTACATGAGTTGTTGTTTGAGGTGTACATTGATATTTAATTTTATCCTGTTTTGAAGATACTGATCAAGGATAAACAAACATTTGTCATTTTCTGCTAAGAGCTGGGCGATGGATTTTAGCCACACTCGTTACGTATACAGTATATAAATTGTTTAATCTAAAGCAATCTGGATACTTTGTGAAATGGTGTCATTGCTTTCAGAGGGAAATTCTGTTCTTAATACACTAATCATGTGAGATTTTATACATCGCTAACTCTCCTCTGTCCTCATTAAGTCAAATGTGATATATAAACATATAGCTGATTTATGCAATGCATTAAAATTCCCAGATAAGTTCAAGTTAAAGAAGAACACACACCCTTTACGTATCATACACACTATTTACATGTCCAAGTGTTAAAACAACTGAAGTGAAATTGACTAAACTATAGCAAAATCACATTCATCCTGGGCTGTAATAGACAAGAACCCCTATAGTGTTTACAGAGCCACACAGCTTCCTATTTGATTACGGACCTATGGCTAATCCAATCCCTCGTTTGAGGTTTTTAATTTATTACTGAATTAAGGTTTATTTGTAAAAAAACAAAAAAAACAAAAAAAAATGTTACAGCAGTAGTTAAAAAAAATAAAAAATCTTCAAATAAGAAATGTCCTTTAAACAGGGCAGATTTTACCGTTTTGTACTGACTATGACCAAGCACCAGATACAGGTATAGTTACAGGTGAGACCCATGATTAATTGTAACATTAAAGAGAAACAGTCCCTTATTCAATCTGCGTATTTTTCTTCTATATATTCATTGAGTTGGCAGATTGAGATCAGATTTCACTAAATGATCTATTTACATTGAATTATTCAGAGTTACATAGTGGAGTCTAATCGTAGCTGGGAGTATTATTGTTCTGTCATCTGTTGCGGGGTTACCACCAGTGGGAGAGAAAACAAGTGGAACTCATTTCTGTATTTAATTTGCAAAATTGTTACTTTCCTTTGTGAAAATAAACACTTGCAGTTTTTTGGGCTGCCTTGCCTTGAGGGGACGGATACTCATAGGATCTCGATTTCCCTTTTCTTCCTATAGCAACATATTTCTTTTACAGGAGGCTGAAGGGAATTTAAATTGTAGAAGAAAAAAAATCAATAATATAGACTACTGCACTTGGAAATTCTCAGACTGCAAAACAATGCATGGGCTCGGGATGCTGCATAGATATGGTTTCTGCTTTCATTTCATTTATGTAATGAAGTGTGTGATAGAAATCTTGAGGACCATTCAGAAGTCCTAATTAGAAATATATAGCAGGCTTTTAACTGTTTCACTGCTGCCCACCTAAAAAAAAAATGTTGTTTAATGGTGTTGTAGACCACAATGGGGGCATATTCACTAAACAGTGAATTATAGCACATCGAAAAACAAATGGCAGAATTGAATTTAATATAATTCACCTGCTCCTGCATTTGAGTTGGACGATTTGTACCTACATTTGCCATTTTGATTTTCAGTTTAGTATATTTTGAGGTTTATTGGATAGACTCCAAAGTGTGCAATTTATAAAAGCAAATAATGCATTCTTAGAAAAGGAATTAATTAAGGCTTGATTACTGCTGATTGACAAGACAATTACTGTTAAGACAGGTTAAAATATGTAAACATGATAATTACATTAATAATAAACACCTGGGTAAGAATCTGATAAATACAGCAAAATCAATGTGTAAAACAGACATCCCTGTTTCGTATTAAATTGTAGGCTGCTATACATATTCCTACCAACACCCCTCCCCTCCCAAAATAGATGTGTTTCGGTGCTGCCTTTACAGTGCAGGTGTGGAGGTACTGATTGGAGAAAAGACCTTGGGAGCAGAGCAGGGAAAAATTATATTATTATTATTATCACCATGTATATAGCGCCAACAGATTCCGTAGCGCTTTACAATATAAAATGCTGCTTGTGTATCAGTAGTTAAAGGACCACTACAGGCGCCCAGACCACTTCAGCCCAATGCCCCTAGTTTTAACCCTGCAGCTGAAAACATAGCAGTTTCAGAGAATCACTGCAGGGTTAATCCAGCCTCTAGTGGCTGTTTCCCTGACAGCCACTAGAAGCACTTTCGCGATTTACACTAAGTAAATCGCACTTATTTGACAATGGACGTCCTCACGGACCTCCAACGTCAAAAAAGATTGCCATAGGAAAGCATTGAGCAATGCTTTCCTATTGCCGGGTTTGAATGCATGCGCGCCTCTGGCTGAAGTCGAAGGAGGAGAGGTCACCAGTGCCGAGGGAGCCGCGCTGGATTAAGGTAAGCAAATAAATGGTTAATTAACCATTTATTCACCGTGGAACGGGGCCTTAGTCACCTTTAGTGTTCCTTTAAGGAGTTAATCATATCTGGACTCGTTGCCTAAAACACTCTCTTGTAAATTGTAAGGAATGTGTATGTATCATCTAAATAACAAAAACTCCCCAGTTCGGGTGGTTGGGTGGTTGTTACCAAACTAACATGGCATATGATCATTTTATCTAAAGCTAAATCTAATATTTACTGTTTGTGTAAGTTTTTTGTCTTTTTCTTTATAAATATATCCTATGCTTGAATAGTGTTCAAAGGACAAAGGGTTAGTATATTACATTCAGGGTCATAACAGACAGGAAGTGACACTGCCTCAGTCCAACGCCATTTTAATTCATGATATAAAAAAACTACTAAAACTAACCTTGCAACCATGTAAGTAAAAAAAAAAAAAAAATTAATAATTTTTTTTTAGTTAATTTAGGAAATAGACCTTCAAGGAGGTATTTTCTGAGATATTATCTGTGCCACACACCATAGTACAGGCAGTGGGAGATTACAGAGATCAATGTGTTGCTGAGTTCTTGGTGTAGGAAGAAGGGTTTTGGCTTTCTAGAGCACTGGGACGATTTTGCACTTGGATATAGTCTTTATAACCGTGATGGAGTGACCCTGAATGGAATAGTCTTTTGTGCTGGGGCAGGATGACTAGAAGGTTGTAGGAGGTTTTAAACTAGGAGTATGAGGGAAGGGTCAAAGAATGATAAATGTTGTAGATAGTATAGAAATGAAATGGAATTCGGCTGAAGTACAGGAGGGTGGAGATAGGGGAGTTGTAAGATTAGCAGACAGAGCTAGAAGGTATTAAATTGATGTTCAAATAAAGTTCAAGAAACAAATGATAACTTCAAATGTCTGCTTGCTAATGCAAAAAGCTTGTGTACAACTATGGGGGAGATTGAGATATTGGCATACAAGGAGCAGCATGACATATTTGGGATTACTGAGACTTGGTGGGATGAAACACTTGATTGGGATATTAATTTAAATGGATATACATTATATAGAAAAAAAAAGAAAAAAAAGGCGGGGAATGTCTTGATATTAAACCCAATTTGAAGCCAAATGTTAAAGAAATGGTATGTGATGATACAGGGGAGGAAGTGGAAACCTTATGAGTAGATATATGCATAGGAGGAAACAGTATTTAATAGTAGGAATATGTTACAAGTTCTCAAACATGAATACTGATGGGGAAGAGCAATTGCTATCTCAAATTAATAAGGCTGCACAACTGGGTAATTTGTTAATCATGGGAGATTTTAATTATTCAGACATTGATTGGACCAGAGGGACTAATAGTACTGTTAAGGGAAACTGGTTTTTGAACCTGATAGACAATAATTTCATGGCCCAATTAGTAGAAGCGCCAACTAGAAGAGATTCTTGTCTGCATCTTGTCATAACTAATTATGTTGACTTATTTTTTTTAAACATTTAAGTTAGGGACCACTTGAGAAATAGTGACTATAATATGGTACTATTTGAGATAAACAAAGAAAAACATTGCAAAAACATTGCAGCACTAAGTGCAAAAGAGACACAGCACCCAGACCACTTCAACGCGCTGAAGTAGTCTGGGTGCCTACAGTATCCCTTTTATTGCGTTCCATGAAGACGTCAGTTGAAATGTAGATTGGATGTGACCTGCTTGGATTTTGCTAAAGCTTTTGATACCGTTCAACACAAGGTTACTATTAAAACTATAATCAGTTGGTTTGTATTTTTGGATAGAACACTTACTTAAAGATAGAGTGCGTAGAGGAGATGTAAATTGAACATTTTAAAATTGGAGAAAAGTGGTAAGTGGAGTGCCTCAGGGTCCTATTATGGGTCCACTTCTCTTTAATTTGTTTATAAATGATCTTGAAATAAGCATTGGACAACATTTGTTGGCGTTTGCAGATGACACAAAACTAGGTAAGAAAATACAGTCTATAACATCTCTACAGAGGTACTTGGATAAATGTGGGACTGGGCAGGCAAATGGCAGATGAGATTGAATACAGATAACTGCAAAACTATGCATTTTGGAATAAGGAAACTGCAAGCCACTTCCATATTAAATGGAATTGAGTTAGGGATAACATTAAATGAAAAGGACATGGAACAATTATAGATCACAAACTATGAAACAGTATGCAATGCCAGTCTGCCGTTGAAAAAGCTAGTGCTTTTGTAGGGGTAATAATTCAAATTCTCAAAATATAATTAGCTTCTTTATAGATCAATGGTGAGACCCTAAATTGAATATGTGATGTAATTTTGGGTACCAATTTTAAGGAAGGATATTGCAGAACAAAATTAGTAAGGGAGATGAATAACATTAGCTACGAGGAAAGGCTAAAAAAACTGAAATTGCTACCAATTTTTTAAAAAAAGGCTCAGAATCTTTTTTTGTGTAAAACTGAATATTCAAGGATATAATTACTATGTATGTAAACAGGTT